TTTAAAAATATTGCACACTATTTCTTATTTTTCACTGTGCCTCAAATATACTACGGGTAAAAGTTAACAGATCCCTAAGGCTTGCCTATTTATTTATACGAGAATCAAAATTATATTTTGTATCACGACCAAGCCTGGGGTTGCTGGCGGCTTTATACCGCAGCGACGTCGTGCAGAGTCAGGCTCTCTGTGACGTTAAGTGACGCGTCACGACGAGCTTGTGACGCATATATGGCGCGTCCTTGCAAACCTTTGAAGTCGATGTTTCACGTCACAGAGATGTGGCATGTAATATATGAAATGTTTATTTACATTTATTGCATCAAAACATGTATTTGAACTTAACATTTACAGGTAGCATCTGGTAAAATCTGCTAAAACGATCTGACGACACCGGGAAATTGGAACATTAATAGAGAAATAGATCATTTTGACAGAAAAATTATTTGAAAAATATTAATTAGATTTAATCTGTGTAAAGCACGTGATTCAAGAATTAATCTTTGTTATTGAAACGGACATTTTCTCCACGATAGTCAAGTGCGCAATCGCCCGAAAGTGCGAACCGGAAAAACGCGGGGCTCTTTCCGCTCGTATTTCTCGTGCGCCGGAATGAAAGACTGGTGCTCAAGGTCTCGAAAAAGAGCTATTCAAAGAGCCGCTCACTCAAATGGTCTGCTCATGCTCATGTAAATTGTACACAGCGTCACATTAGTTAAACCGGCGGCTCTCGTCTATGCCTAAGCAAAGGCACACTATACTATAGAAAAATATTTATTTATAATTATTCGATGTACTGTAATTCTTCGGCGCTCAGGTATCATGATTGATCTATCTGAAAAAACGAAGTTGTAGTAATTTTTCATCATTTTTATGTCATTTGCATAAGGCCATGCTCTTTACAACAGAACTTGATGTAGATAATTTGTCCTGTTCGCTTAAAGAGCATGCATATATCAACTTCAAGTGTCAAACGTACGGCTCTTAATGTCAGGTCACTATAAAACTATAGGAATGTTACTATAAAACTATAGGAAGTGACGTTATCACTGTGACTGCACTCCTATACATGATGACCACACTTCTCCTGTTTCGTGACGCTCCTTGACAAGGTTTATTACATCATTGATTTATAGAGGTGCATCCCTAGTCATATAATCGGTCAAGCATAAATAAGATGAGCCTTCCCGTGAACAAGGCCAAGTGATCATTTATTGGGTTAGAGTCGCTGGGGCGGAAAGCTCGCCTTATAAATAATAGAGGCCTGTTGCTCGACGAGCCTTGAGCACGACGAGCGAGCAGCAAAATATAAATGTTTTTTATTTTACAGACTGCCTAGGCATATTTCACAGAATTTTTAATGTAATGTTGTGAATGCTAGCATATTTAGAGGCACAAATACCAACAACAGTGGTCAAGGGAAGGAGTAGTTCGAATTCATGGGGTGTGATCAGCTTTTTTTTAATTTCTTCTTGAAATGCTCGATTCGAGAGTTAAATAATTAAGTCTGCACATTCAGAACATGTTTGTACATATATTAAATTGACTGAAGATTGATCATAATGTAGTTAGAGGGATATTATATTTACATCTTATTCTAACGTCGGAATAAACACATTGGAAGAATTGAAACATCCAACTTTTGATGTAGAATATTAAGCGAAGACTCCTTTTTAATAGATAATAAAATAATGTTTCGGTTACAGACAAAGTTCAGTAAATTCTATTCATCACTAAACAAAGCCAGCAGTCACAACAGTGCGGTACTGTAGCATATCAAAGATTCCCGTATGCTTAATGACTAGCCACGAAGAAAAAGCACATTTTAGAAGTTGCGCTCCATTAGCTTCCGTTCTTGTTTCGCGTTCATTATGTTGGTTCCAATAAAGCCTGTTCGGTGTTGCCGTGTTCTTCCCATTCTTCACGCGCGTTACTTCATACATTACAGGTACCATAACTCAACTTCGGTGCTGGGCATTTCCTGGAATGTCAGTTTCTTTCCAGTCTCTGAGAGAATGCGAGACTTTCCTGGGCACTAAACCTAACATATAAGCCGCAGTGGGCAAGAATGCATCATGTACCCCTCAACAGATACTCCCTCGTATACCCCGACTCTCAGCCCACAGTCTGTTGTTGAAGAATACATAATTACAATGAAATTTAGGAATATATATTTCTCTAAGAATGAATACATTCAAAGTGGGTTTGAAATGATTTTTTATCTTATATTCATGAATCTGAACGAATCTAATCATTTCGATATGTACACAATATGAAACTATCATTTCAAATATAACCAGCTTTTCCGAAACTTCCGGTACAATTGCCTAAGATATTTTGTAAATGTCACTTTATATTGGTGTCACGAAAACCATCGAGTTCTTCTATGTGGGAAACCTTGGTAGTCGAATTTGTGATAGGAGATGTTGCGCGCTACTTATACAGCGCATCACGAAAACAGTTCACACATCTGCAGACACACAAGCCGATCTTTAATCTAGAAAATTTTTTATTTAACATGCTTTTATAAGGCATTTTCTCAAAATCAACGCTTTCAGCGTCATCTCGAGCTACCTGATGCGAGTATTTTTGGCCTGCTGTCGCTTATTTGACGGTTCTACATCAGTGGATGACATAACCGAACATGAATGTTGTGGCCATGGTTGTGGCTTTCTTTGTAAGCGTGCAATAGAGTCTCTTATTACGACTTTCCATGTCTGCTCGCAAGGCTTGCGTGTTTTGCAGGCAAAAGTCAGGACAGAGGCGTGGTGGGTATACGAGCTTGTTATGTCGCAGCCACAACTTTTACGTCTGACACAAGTATTGGTTTCTCATCGCGTGCTAGAGATTGCTGTGTTTTGCAGCCGCGTGAATTGGTATGCGAGATGCTTCCTTTGCTGCTGGTGTGACTGCTATACGCCTGCACCTTTACAGCAGCTGCTATACGCCTGCACCTTTACAGCAGCTGCTATACGCCTGCACCTTTACAACAGCTGCTATACGCCTGCACCTTTACAGCAGCTGCTATACGCCTGCACCTTTACAGCAGCTGCTATACGCCTGCACCTTTACAGCGACTGCTATACGCCTGCACCTTTACAGCAGCTGCTATACGCCTGCACCTTTACAGCAGCTGCTATACGCCTGCACCTTTACAACAGCTGCTATACGCCTGCACCTTTACAGCAGCTGCTATACGCCTGCACCTTTACAGCAGCTGCTATACGCCTGCATCTTTGCCAACAGCGGTTATACGTATGCACCTTTACCAACAGCTGCTATACGCCTGCACCTTTACCAACAGCTGCTATACGCCTGCACCTTTACCAGCAGCTGCTATACGCCTGCACCTTTACAGCAGCTGCTATACGCCTGCACCTTTACCAACAGCTGCTATACGCCTGCATCTTTACAACAGCTGCTATACGCCTGCTGCTGCTGCTGCTGCTGCTGCTGGTACACTGCGTAACATCTGTTCCTGCTGCTGTTATACGCCGTATCTGCCAATGATACTGATACACAGCAGTATCTGTCCATACTTCTAAACAATTGCAGCAGATTTAATTACTAGTTCCCTGCATCTGCACCTGTTGTGATTGTTACACTCTTCTGTCTGCATCTGCTACTGAAACAGTCATGACTGCTACTCAATAAATATTAAAGGCCTCTTTCCGGAGATTCCGGTCCCAATGTTGCTGCTAAACTGCAATCCAAGTATAAACGTCGCCGAATATGTCTTCGAATTTTGGCTTGGTAAGGCTGTAACTGAATTAGAGCGATGATGGTTACTACAAAATATAAAAATCTGCTGCTCCTGCAACTGTGACTGCTGATAGGCATGCATTTGCCGTTAAGTGAGGTTTTTTATTTTAGTTAAAAAGAACAGCGTCAGCAAACTTTGGTTGAATATAGAAAAACGTTTTTTATTTTCATTGGTTATTATAGCAGCAAAGTGACCACTATTTTAGGCCACGGCGACGATAAATGTTTAGTCAATAACATTTAATGCTGTAACTACAAATATATATGAAAAAAATGCTTTGAGCCCTAAATGCTAGCTTCATTTCATTATGAATTAGAAGAGAAATGTACTTATTCAAAGAAAATGTTTAGGTCGAAATATGCAGCTTCGATTTCCAAGAAAGTGTAAAAGTGAGTGAGTGCAATTAAATATTACTAATTACTTCATAAAAATTGTAATCAACATTCAAATTAGGTATATACGCGAGCCCTCATCAAAGCAAGACTGCTGCTCGTACTCGATATATGTACGCTGTTTACGTGCTCTGAATTTTTGCTTTATCTTTAACGAATTAGGGACAATAATAACTACTGCAGTTATTAAATACAACTTGGTCAGCCTGAGGACATCGTATGTGAAGGCAGACCATGATGTGTGGGGGCACTGAGTGTGAGGCCAGCACGAGGCGTGTGAAGATAGCGCGGGGCGTGTGAGGGCAGAAGAGGGCGTGTGAGGGGTAAAAGAAGGTGTATGAAGGCACTAAATATGAGGGCAGCACGGGGCGTGTGAGGACAGCACAGGGCGTGTGAGGGCACTGAATGTGAGGACAGCTCAGAGCGTGTGAGGTCAGAAGAGGGCGTGTGAGGGCACTGAATGTGAGGACAGCACGAGGCGTGTGGGACAGCACAGGGCGTGTGAGGACGTGTGAGGGCACTGAATGTGAGGACAGCTCAGAGCGTGTGAGGGCAGAAGAGGGCGTGTGAGGGCACTGAATGTGAGGACAGCACGAGGCGTGTGAGGGCAGAAGAGGGCGTGTGAGGGGTAAAAGAAGGTGTATGAAGGCACTAAATGTGAGGGCAGCACGGGGCGTGTGAGAGCACTGAATGTGAGGACAGCACGGGGCGTGTGAGGGCAGAAGAGGGCGTGTGAGGGCGTGTGAGGCTCACAAGGCGCGGCACTGTGTGGGCGTGCCCTCCTCTCTACCTGGCAGTGCCATGGCCCTTGCGAGGCGCGCTAGTGTGGCACCGCCCATCTCTGCTACTGCTGCTGCTGCGTTCCTCTCACTGCCGTCCTGCCACAGCTCAGTGACACACTCTACACCCTGACACTCCCAATACCCAACAGACTGAGTACTCAGTCAAAAGGTTCGGGTCTTATCCTTTTTGAAATAATATATAATAATAAGCACATGTCATGTTAGACTGGCACTCTAGTAAATGACGAGGTTGTGAAAGGCAGCCTCACAACGGTGAATACTAACTCTCAGACTCTTCCTCTTGCCCTGGAACTAGACACTGAGAGAGTTCTTCCTTAGCTGTATCTTAATTTACACTATTCACGTCACCCTTCGCTGATTCCACAAAAAAAACATTCATTGATTAGGACTGGAAAATTCAGCATCGCTACGTCACCCACTGTCATGTAGTGGCATGTCAGGGACTTGAGACGACGCTGTGCGTGGTCGTCGTACGGGCAGTATGCCAGTCGCCTGTTGCTTTCAGCGACGTCAATACCAAAGTTTATTTTAAGAATTGGTGTGCGTTTTAAGCCGTTCTCGACCTCTCCGGCAGCGGGTGGCCATCTCGAGACACCAAACCAGTTGCCTCTACTGGAACTTCCTTCTTGGTTAGGTGAGTACCGAGACTTGCTGTATTCATGAGCTGCATTATCTAGCTTGCTTCATACCGCGTTGTTGGAGTTGATTCTATGGTTTTTTTCACAGTAGGCGAGTGGAAATACCAATTGAAATGAGTTAACACTGACCAACTTTGCATCTTTGACTCATTTTCGTGCGTTGCACTTGACCCACTTGAATAGTAGGTTCCAGAATAGTGGATGAATCTTACGATGAACAAGGTTAATCGCCAAGATTACCTTGTCTTTCACAGATTTTCAAGGTAATAACAATGGGGATCATTATGAAGAAGCGAATTTGCCCGCTGCGCCCAAGACGAGTTAACGTTTATCATTCGTTTACCGTTACTCGCCATCCATTCAATTATAATTCACACTTAAAAAAATAATCGTAAAATTATAAGGCTTCTTTCGTAATATAATTAATTTATCGAGCTGAAGTTTCGAGACCGAGCTGAACTCAAAAATGAATAGATGCACTCATAGATTTTGGGCATTCTTCATTGACCGGATAACGAATTTTCTAAATTTGGTTGAAGCCTTTGATTCAACTTGCCCCTGAATAGTGTCATTTCACAAAAAAATAATATTGTTCTTGGTTTATTTTTTGAACGCAATCAGCTTTCCTTAGAATATGTTTTTTCAACCACAATGAGCTGCACTCGGCCGTGAAAACCCACTGCATTTTTGGGTGGCAGCGCGAAAGCGCGCCGCTGACGTGGCTGGGTTTCGGTGCCATCGCGTCTAATATAGTTGGGCTTCTGTTTCACCACAGACCTCTACAAGTGGAATCATTTCAATTCATCTGCTAAACTATTTCACTGTTCTTTAAAAAATAACGTAATGCTTAAAGCCATTTCACCAAAAAAACTGTGAAATTGGATGTCCCAACTTAGTGACATGAATTATTTACAATATCCATGCATAAATGTGAATGGATATTCCGATAGGGCCTACTTACTGAAATATTTTCAGTATTTTTCACACACTAATTTAGATCTAGTTCACAACTTCCAAACTTTTCAATGGAGTTCTAAAAAGTTTCTTCGACTTTAAATAGTGAAATGAGAGAAATAAAGTAGGATGGACGTGAACTCTCATATGTGTTTAAAAAATTAACATGTTTCGATCGGGTAACAAATTTCAAGATATACATCGAAAGGCTAAAGAGAATGTAGATAGAAGATAGGAATATTTATGCGCTAAGTATTTAATGTACTGTAATTTTGCAATTAAAAACCACTTCGCAGCGGGCAACATTATTCAAGTCATGAGGAGGCAAATGAAGACGAAAATAAATGAGCATTTTTGAAGTAGTGCACGATTTCATCGTCATAATGAACGCTTAAACTACAAATTTAAAAGCAAGGAATAGCCCACAAAAATTTATATCTCTATAGAAAATGTCTTTTTGGACTATTCTTTGCTTTTAAATTTTTAGTTAATTTGCGATTCAAGCAAACAAATGACATCAACGTTTAAACTAATTCAGTTGATGTGCAAAAATGGTAAAGTTGTTCAATAATTTTATTGTGAATCCACGATTTGATAGGACAAGAGCAATTTTTAAAGTGTTCTTTGCTTCATGTACATTTCTCTTGATGGAGTATTCAGGGCTTGAAATAACCTAACATGAGTAGAGATTTTCCTTCAATAATTTTCCTGAATTATTTTCCTTCAGAATAATTTAAACGCAGGCTACACGCTCCCAAGCTGGACAGACATTTTTAACTGACGTAAGGAAATTAATCTGATCTTCTGGTGACTGGGGCATTTTTATATTCTAGTAGGAACGAGCGGTCACAAGAGGGGGAGAGGTATAGTGATGTAGTGAGGGTATGAGCGGTCACATGAGGTGTATATATCTATATTAGTGAGGGTATGAGCGGTCATATGAGGAGTATATAGCTATATTTATGAGGGCATGAGCGGTCATATGAGGAGGATAGCTATATTTATGAGGATATTAGTGGCACTTTTACAAAACCAAAAACATCAGAAGTCCAGAACGCCAGAAAGTCCAGAATGTGAGGAGAATAGCGATTGTGTGAGGGTACTAAAGCGGTCACATTAGGAATTAGCCATTATATGAGGATATTGACTTTATTTTAGCCCATGGGATTATCTCTACATGGACATTTTTATCCAGAGGACATATTGTTCACGTTTTTGTGTTTCAATTATACCATCTTACATCGATCTTTGTCCATATTTTATTCGGAGCATAGATAATTGAAAATCATTTGCTATTTTGGGCCAGAAGCAATCATTCGTCATGGGTATCGTTGCTCGAATGGATGATTGCAGATTTTATGGTCACTAAATCACGGATTAGCCGGCAATGTGTGGGCAAATTGTAAGGGCTGTTGTGGCAATATCGAGAGCCTCAATGCAAATCATCTTAATAAGAAATTCGTGAAAATTAAAAATTACAGTGATAATAAGATTTGAACTACTATAGCATTTTTTTTTCTTGTAGAATTGTACGCAAAATCTAAAATATGGTACAGATAAAAATGTAAACATGTGTTTGATAGAGCAGTCCATTCTCATACATGAAATTAGTATAGGTTGGCCAAAAGCTGTTCCTATTAAGCAGGTTTCATCGAAGACCAGAGAATTCGCTTTATTGACTGATAAAATAAAACAATATCTATTCATATTCTTATATATGAATAGATATTCAGAAAATTACCTGTATGAGATTGAAAATTATTATTGGTTTTGTACCTCTCGATTTTGATCGCTTTCCACTCTGATTTCGCACATCATTTGTTATGTTCTCAGAATCGACGCAGTTCAACATTCCAAATTGTAATCCCAGATTTTACTTCCATTACACCAAAAAATTGTAGTTCCTCTTAATTTCTTAACAAGATATTGAATTTTATTCAACACTTTTCAGCAGCGTCCGGCAAAAGTAAGAAAATTTGAGTTAATTGATACATAATTGAACATTTATGTTTGAATAAATAATGGGTAAATTATTAAATTTATAATTCACAAACATTCAGACTACTCTGTGGTATATTTCCTCTGCTTAATGGGTGGTAGCAGAAGATTATTAAAGCGATTTTATTTATGACTACAAAATATTCTCCTACGGTTTTATTTCAAAATTTGAGCCACGTTTAGAGGGTTAAATGAAGAGAAACGTTATCTAATCTGACGAATAATTTGCTGGGGAAATTGTGACATTTAAGCTTTCATGAATCAATACTATACTATCGGTACCAATTTGCAATATTCTTCCTCAATAAATGGGTTTCCAATCTCTCGTTAAAGAGAATTAAATTCCCTTTAGGAATTAATTCCCTAATTTCCTTAATTTAAGGGAATTTAATCCCCTTTAAAGGGAGGCCAGCAAAGTTCCCAGCCAAAGCGCCACATGCACGCGGTATCAATGATGGCACGTGTACACTCGGCAGCCACTTCCTCCATTTACTTAATTCGGTCGCAGGGTACTGCGATGCCCATCAGTCACTATCATGTTCTGCATTACGCCGGATTGCTTTGCCGTGCACCTGTCATAAAAATAGCGAAATCATGGACCGAGGGTCGTCATTGTGAGGCGAAACTCCACAGTATGATTCATTATATTGCTTGAATTTACCTTTCGTGCCGCCAGAGTATCAGTGATAATTCTAATATACTGCTAACGGTTTAGCCGTTTGCTTGTTTGAGTTTGCATGAGGGTTTGGTGTGCTGCTCAAGCAATTGCTGAACAATGTTGTCAGTTGCGTTCTCTGCCACTACATTACAAACAAATGACGTAATGAGGCCCAAAATTACGCTAAAAAATTATCTGTTGCTATGTGCGCTACGCAGTAGCCTGAGCTTAACCTACTTTCAGTGATGAAGGCTGATAACGACGGATACATAAACTAGAGCTCTCGATTTAAGCCGAATTCCCTCCCCACAAAATTTTTTGAATATTTGTCTCCAATTCAATTCTTTCAAAGCGCAATTTTGGGACTTGATATCAAAGCAGAAAAAGTTCGAATGAATTTTGTACACACAACTTTACAAATTCGCGTGCAGAGATATCACCTCGGATGTTGGCCAATTAAGCTTATTGACAAAGTCAAAGTTCGTATTGACAATCAACGAATCAATTAATGCGATAAGCCTACGAATAAATTGGCCTAATTATAATGATATACAGCGTGTGCTGATAACTGCATTAACAGAGTGAATGCCTCATTCATTTTCTGATAACTTGAGTGCTGATTATGAACAAATACGTTTACGATGTCATATGTTTTTATCCTCTCGTGTTTTTTTAGCCACATGTAACGTGCCCTCGAAGTTCGATCTGAACGGGACGCCACGACAATCTCTTCGTGGAATAATAATAATAATAAGCAGTGCTGCACGTCGAAACAAATTTTCGAAATACATATTATTTCCGGCTAAAAGATAAACATTCGCAAACATCAAAACGGGTTACGGGAGGAAAGTAGATCGTTCATACAAAGCCACCGACAACATTCGTCGCAATCAAAGCCTGGATAGTTAACAGTGAAATTAAAGCAAAATATTCTATAGAAACGACGCGAAGAAGCGCAGTTTTTATTGAATTTACTTCACCTTCGTAGTGAATTTTCAAATACAGTTATAGCGTTAATCAAAAGAAAGAACAGAAATCATTCGTGTATTTCTTTCTCACTTGATTTAGCTCGGCAAACTTAATGAAGCTGTCACTATGGAAACGATGACATGAATGCATACGGATATAGATTTGGTAACATCCACTCATTACAAGGGGCTTTATGAACTAGTTTCCAGTGCTCCTATAAGAATAAATAAGAAAGAGAAAAACATCCACTCATTCAATGAGACAATGAAAAATACACTGGTCGTCTAGATGTATGTCTAATCGGTGTAATCCTCATTTCGCTAATTTGATGGTGCAGTTCTAGCTCCACTGATCATTCAGTAGCGCAGTTCATGCCATGAAGCTATAGTGACTACATGGAACGCAGGGTTCACGATG